TCAGTCACAGAGTTGTCAGGAAACGGAAAAGTCTGGGAAGTGATGTAGTGGATACAGGATCCATACATAGCTTTAAAAAGAGGTGAGATAAAGCTCATGGAGCAGGAAGAGTGACCTAGTAGGGACCAGTGAAGAGGCGGGGCAAGGAACTGTGACTCTACCGCTGCAACTACAACTAGGTGAGCACAACTGGGTGAGTACACACACACGTACACAGGGATCAGTCCAAGGATCGGTGCTGTTTCTGGTATATGTGAATGTGACGGAAGGGATAAACTCAGATGTGTCCCTGTTTGCAGATGATGTGAAGCTAATGAGAAAGAATTCAATCGGATGAGGATCAGGCAGGACTACAAAGGGATTTGGACGGGCTGCAAGCCTGGTCCAGGAACTGGCTCCTAAAGTTTAACCTTCCCAAGTGCAATCTTGAAGATCAGGGAAGGGCAAAAGACACTGCAGACGGAGTACAGCATAGGGGCCAAAAACTGCAGATTTCACTAATGGAAAATGATCATCGGGTGATCATAATGCACAGGACATCTCCTAAGGCGCACATCAACTAGATAACTGCTGCAGCATATGCACCCCTAGGAAACATAAGAATAGCATTCTGACATCTCAGTAAGGAATCGTTAAAGGACTCTGTATACCGTGTACGTCAGGCTCATAATAGAGAATGCAGCACCAGTTAAGAGCCCACACCTGGTCAAGCACGACAAGAAATTAGAGACGGTGCAAATGTTTGCAGCGAGACTAGTTTCAGAACTGAAGGGTATGTCCTACGAGGAGAAGTTAAGGGCAATCGACCTGACGGCACTGGAGGACAGGAAAGACAGGGTGGATATGATAACGACATATAAACTACTGAGAGGATGAAGATAAGTTAAGATAAGATTTCTTCGGATTTTTAACCTCTGAGGGTTAGCCACCAAGGATAACCCAAGAAAGTCAGTGCGTCATCGAGGACTGTCTGTCTGTCTTATTTCCTTTGGGTTCCTCAGTATTGCCCCCCAGGATGCGTCCCACACCAGTCGTCTAACACCCAGTTACCTACTTGCTGCTACGTGAACAGGACAACAGGTGTACCGAAACATGTCGAAATGTTTTTAACCCGCCGAGAATCGAAGCCGGACCCTCCGTGAGTGAAGCGAGAGCTTTGCCAGCCATGCCATTGGGTCACTGACATAGTGGATAGGGACAGAATGTTTCAGAGATGGGTACAGTAACAAGGGGTCAGAACTAGAAGTTGAAAACACCGAAGAGTCACAGAAATATTAAGAAGTATTTTAACAGTTACAGAGTCGTCAGGGAGTGGGACAACCTGGAGAGGGATGTGGTTGAGGCAGGATCCACACATAGCTTTAAGAAGAGATACGATAAAGTTCATGGAGCAAGGAGAGAGTGAACCTAGTAGTGACCAGTGATGAGGCGGGGCCAGGAGCTGTGAATCGAATCCTGCAGCCACAAATAGGTGAGCACACACACACACACACACACACACACAGCTCTCCTGCTCCCCAACCCCAACGTTCTACCCAGACCACTGTTTTAGAAAAGAAGTTGAAAGTTTGGTATACGAATGAGGATGGAATAACAAATAAATTTGAGGAGTGACATGATAGGAAGTGGAAGGAATGGACGAAATGGGCGAAAGGGAAAATATAGGAGGTATAATTCAGTATGGAGGACACAATGTAGTCATTGCTGTGTTGTACAACCCGCCACAGAACTACAGGAGGACAAGAGAAGAATATGGTGGATAAACTAGCTGAGGTAGCCAGAAGAGCTCACATGGGTTGAGCAAAACTACTAGTCATGAACGATTTTAATCACAAGAAGATTTGTTGGGAAAATCTGGTGTCACTAAGGGGTCCCGAAATATGGAGCGCCAAGTTGATAGATGTGGTACTGGAAAACCTCATGCATCAGCATGTTAGGGACACTACCAGAAAAAGAGGTGAGGATGAATCAACAAGATTGGACCTTGTATTCACCCTGAGCAGTTCGGACATCGAGGACATTACAAATGAAAGGCCCCTCGGAGTTAGTGATCACATGGTTCCGAGATCTGAATACATAGTAGAGTTACAAGTGGAGAGGGTAACAGGAGTACAATGGGAGAAGCCAATCTACAAAAAGGGAAAAGGGGAGCCTACACAGGAGTGAGGAACTTCTTGCAGGAGGTTCAGTGGGAAAGGAAATTGGCAGGAGAATCAGTAAACGAAATGATGGACTACGTGACAACAAAATTCAATGGCAAAATTCAAGGGCAAAATTCAAGGGCAAAATTCAAGGGCAACAGAAATAATGGGAAGGCGAGAACGAGCCCTTGGTTTACCCAAAGGTGTAAGAAGGCAAAAGATAAGTGCCCCAGAGAGTGGAGAAATTACAGAAGAAAAGAACCCAGGTAAATAAAGAGATTAGTTAAAGAGCCAGAAACGTGTATGCACAGATAACGAGGGAGGGCCAGCTACAGTGCAACAGCGACATAGCATCGAAAATCAAGTCTGACCAAAAGCTGTTGTATAGAAACATCAGGAGGAAGCCAACTGTCAAAGACCAGGTAATCAGACTGAGGAAAGGTGGGAAGCTCACAAGAAATGACCAAGAAGTATGTGAGGAGCTCACCATAAGATTTAAGGAAGTATTTACAGTGGAAACAGAAAAGACTCCGGGAAGTCAGAACAGGAGGGTACACCAACAAGGGATATATCAACAAGTGCTGTTCGAGATATACACAACCGAGGAGAAGGTGATGAAGCTGCTAAACGAACTTCATACCTCAAAGGCGGTGGGATCGGATAACATCTCACTGGGGATTCTTAGAAAGGTAGCAGAGATGGTGTGTATGTGCCATTAACAACAATTTCCAATATATCCATTGCAACTGGGCAAATGACTGAGGTATGGAAGACAGCAAATGTAGTCCCCATTGTTAAGAAAGGAGACAGACACGCGGCACTAAAATACAGACCAGTGCCACTGACGTATATAGTATGCAAAATCATGGAGATTATCAATAGGAGAGTGGTGGAACACCTAGAATGGAACAAGCTTAAGAACGACAACCAGCACAGACTCTGGGAAGAAAAATCCTGTGTCACAAACCTAATGGAATTTTATGACAAGGTACCTGAAGTAAAACACGAAAGAGAGGGGTGGGTTGGCTGCATTTTCTTGGATTGCAAGAAGGCCTGCGACACAATTACTTACAAGAGATTGGTGCCAAAAATAGAGAATCAGGCAACAACGAGTCATGGTACTTGACTAGGTGTTAGAGTGGGCGCCTCTGACGAGCGGGGTTCCACAGGGGTCAGTCCGAGGACCAGTGCTATTTTCGGTATATGTGAATGACATGACGGAAGGGATAGATTCAGAAGTGTCCTTGTTTGCAGATAATGTGAAGCTAGTAAGAAGAATTAGTTCGGATGAGGATCAGGCAGAACTTCAAAAAGACCTGGACAGGCTGCAAGCCTGGTCCAACAAATGCCTCCTCGAATTTAACCCCGTCAAATGCAAAGTCATGAAGATCGGGAGAAGGGCAAAGAAGACCGTAGACAGAGTATGTTCTAGGTGTCCAAAGACTGCAAATCTCACTCACGGGAAAAGATCTTGGGGTGAGTATAATACCAAGCACATCTAAGGTGCACACCAACCAGATAACTGCTGCAGCATATGGGCGCCTCGCAAACTTGAGAATAGCAATCCGATACCTCAGTAAGGAATCATTCAAGACTCTGTGCACCCTTTACGTCAGAACCATACTGAAGTATGCAGCACCAGTTTGTAACCAACACATGGTCAAGCACGTCAAGAAATTAGAGAAAGTGCAAAGGTTTGCAACAAGACTAGCTCCAGAGCTAAGGAGAATGTCATACGAAGAAAGGTTAAGGGAAATCGTCTGACGACACTGGAGGAAAAGAGGGTCAGGCGAGGAATTGACTAGGTGGACAGAGACAAGATGTTCAAGAGATGGGACACAGAAACAAGAGGTCACAATTGGAAATTGAAGTCTCAGATGAGTCAAAGGAATGTTAGGAAGTATGTTTTTCAGTCATATAGTTGTCAGAAAGAGGAATAGTCTGGCAAGCGACGTAGTTTTAAGACGAGGTATGATAAAGCTCATGGAGCAGGGAGAAGAGAGGACCTAGTAGCGATCAGCGAAGAGGCGGGGGAGGGAGCTATGAATCAACCCCTGCAACCACAAATAGGTGAGTACACGCACGCAGACACACACACACACACACACACACACACACACACACACACACACACACACACACACACACACACACACACTCGCAAACACACACTATCAACAAGTGCCCTTGACAACTAATAACTAACACAGATCTGGTAATGAGTAATGTCACTGTCGTCTCAGAGATATTAAGTTATTTTTATTTAACCTTCCTACATTATTTAAAATTATTGTTTAATAAGCATTTCCTTATATATTGACCATAGCCATTTGTATTTTTAAAAATCATAATATAAGAAAGTATTGGTATCGGCTGAAAATTTTTGTGTTGTCTCAACAGTAGTTCTGACCTTTTTAAGTTTATTGACGTTCAGGAACACATAAGTACAATTTTTGCCTATAGTAACATATAGGTAAAATACCTGGGATAATCAAGAAAAAAAAAAGGTTAGACAACGTGACTTAATTTCATTGAGGTCCTTGCCACAATATGCTGACCATTGCACTAGAGCAATAACCATTGTAAAAGTACATTGACTATTTTACCTGCACATCACCCATTGTACCTGTACTCTAACAATATATTTGCACACTGTACCTACTGTATGCACTTACCATTGTAGTTAACTGTACTTAAACCCTTACTATTGTTCCTGTGCACCGATAATCGTAACTGCACACTTGCTATTGTACCTACACACTGAACAATGTATTTGTGCACTGATTATTGTACTTGCATACTGACCATTGTATCTACACACCCAGCACTAGGCATATATGATGAACATTGTTCCTAATTAAACCCCTGTTCTTGTACACAGACACCCACCATTTTTCAAAAACATTTTCCCTTGCATATTTACATAATAAATTCCAAAAAAATCACTTTCTTTTACTTCTTACCTTGAATACAAGAGTCAATAGGAGTACTTTGCCAAACAGCATTTAAACACTGCATCAGGATGCCAGGGTAGCCGGATGCCGTCAGATTACCTGAGTTACACTCGTAATACACTCCGTAGAGTATCATACTATTCATATAGAACGGGACATTCCAGGTGAAGTTTTGAACCACGTGAGCTCCACTTGGAGGAGGAGCGTAAGAGTTGCATTTCGAGCTGCTAAGAGTCATGTCATCTGAGGAATATGAAGCGCCTGTCAGTGAGCACGTGATGAAGCAATGTGGTTTAGAAAGACACATGAACATACGAAACGTTTTCTAATAAATATATCCAGTCCAAATGTTCATACGCCTAATTTATCTCCATTCACAGAGGGTGAAGATATCACTTCATAAAAAACCAAACCATACCACGGGCGGGGTTAGAACCCGCGATCAGAGTCTCAAAACTCCAGACCGTGTCATTACGATTTCGTGAGTCATATCACTTCATACATTATTAGGTTCGAAAATACCGCTACCCTCAGTGAATGACCCTTTGATACCTGGGCTTCCCGGTTAGGTATGTTATTTTCCGGTACAGCATTAAATATCTAAGCCACTTTAGTACAAGAGATCATTTGTGATTACAATTTACTTAGGAAGGCAATCCTATGGGAAGTGGTGTGGTCGAGTAAAACTTGGTTAGCATTGTTCTTCGTTATTAAAAAAAATTGTCATTGTCAAATGTCTGAATTCTGAATCAACTAGGCTCTCACAGATGACCTTGGTATAGCACATGAGGTGAAAACAGGTCTTTAATCAAAACATCACTAACAGGAACTTATCTGATTAGCCCTATGGTGGAAGCCACTTTAAAAATAAAATCACCAGTGATTCTTACTCGTGGATGGTATAGAAATGAATCTGCATGTAAATATGGATTTAACAAATAGTACGCCTTAAAAATAGGAATCTCATTTTTCTAAATAGAGAATTTCCCAATAGACAACCTCAGCATTTTAACAACAAAAAACCTTATGCAAAATGTAGCTAACATGCATAGAAGCAATCTTTCTCAGAATTAATAATGTAAATTTTTGTAACAATATAATGCATTGTTTCCAAAATAATTGAAAAAAAAAAAAAAAAAGACCACAATCTGAGAAGAGGGAAGTTGGATTGTAAAAAGGAGGTTGAACATTAAAATGGTATAAAATACCGACAGGTTGTTAGGTAAGACACATATGCAACAGTTAGGTATCTTTATTTCGAAACGTTTCGCCTACACAGTAGGCTTCTTCAGTCGAGTACAGAAAAGTTGATAGAAGCTTCTATCAACTTTTCTGTACTCGACTGAAGAAGCCTACTGTGTAGGCGAAACGTTTCGAAATAAAGATACCTAACTGTTGCATATGTGTCTTACCTAACAAAAAGGAGGTTGTTACAGTTGGACACAGGTAGATTTTTTCTGATCTTTATTTCTACAGTCTTGAGGAGTATATATAGAAAATTTCATCTTTTCATCAATTATTTCCGATATTTATCTAATTTCACTGGACTACAGTGTCACATTCAAACACTGAGACAGTTCTCCAAGTATAGCCGATGTCAGTGACACACAAGTATAGTCGGTGTCAGTAACACACAAGTATAGCCGACGTCAATGGCACACAAGTATAGCCGACGTCAATGGCACACAAGTATAGCCGACGTCAATGGCACACAAGTATAGCCGACGTCAATGACACACAAGCATAACCGACGTGAATGACATACAAGTATAGCCAGTGTCAGTAACACAAGTATAGCCGAAGTCAATGTCAAACAAGTATAGCCGACGTCAATGACACACAAGTATAGCTGGAGTCAATGACACACAAATTACAGCCGACGTCAATGACAGAAGAATAGCAGACGTCAATGACACACAAGTATAGCCAGTGTCAGTGACACACAAGTATAGCTGACGTCAATGACACACAAGTATAGCCGGTGTCAATGACACACAAGTATAGCCGGAGTTAATGACACACAAGTATAGCCGACGTCAATGACACACAAGTATAGCCGACGTCAATGACACACAAGTATAGCCGGTGTGAATGACACACAAGTATAGCCGGAGTCAATGACACATAAGTATAGCCGACGTCAATGACACACAAGTACAGCCGACGTCAATGACACACAAGTATAGCCGACGTCAATGACACACAAGTATAACCGACGTCAATGACGCAAAAGTATAGCCGGTGTCAGTGACACACAAGCATAACCGACGTCAATGTCACACATGTATAGCAGCTGTCAATGACACACAAGTATAGCCAGTGTCAGTGACACACAAGTATAGCTGACGTCAATGACACACAAGTATAGCTGGAGTCAATGACACACAAGTATAGCCGGTGTTAATGACACTCAAGTATAGCCGGTGTCAATGACACACAAGTATAGCAAGTGTCAGTGACACACAAGCATAGCTGACATCAATGACGCACAAGTATAGCCGGTGTCAATGACACACACGTACAGCCGGAGTCAATGACTCATGAGTATAGCAGACGTCAATGACACACTAGTATAGCCGATGTTAATGACACACAAGTATAACCGACTTCAATGACACACAAGTATTGCCGGAATCAATGACATGCAAGTACAGTCGGTGTCAGTGACACTCAAGTATAGCCGACGTCAATGACACAGAAGAATAGCCGACGTCAATGACACACAAGTATAGCCGACGTCAATGACACACAAGTATAGCCGGAGTCAATGACACACACGTATAGCCGGTGTCAGTGACACAGGCATAACCGACGTCAATGACACACAAGTATAGCAGGTGTCAATGATACACAAGTATAGCCAGCGTCAGTGACACACAAGTATAGCAGGTGTCAATGACACACAAGTATAGCCGACGTCAATGACACACAAGTATAGCCGACGTCAATGACACACAAGTATAGCCGATGTCAATGACACACAAGTATAACCGACGTCAATGACACACGAGTGTAGCCAGTGTCAGTAACACACAAGTATAGATGGCGTAAATGACACACAAGTATAGCCGGTGTTAATGACAGACAAGTATAGCCGGATTCAATTAAAAGCACGTATAGCCGACGTCAATGACACACAAGTATAGCCGACGTCAATGACACACACGTATAGCCGGTGTCAGTGACACACAAGCATAACCGACGCCAATGACACACAAGTATAGCAGGTGTCAATGACACACAAGTATAGTTGGAATCAATGAAACACAAGTACAGCCGTCGTTAATGACACACAAGTATAGCCGACGTCAATGTCACACACGTATAGCCGGAGTCAATGACACACACGTATAGCTGGAGTCAATGACTCACAAGTATAGCCGACGTCAATGACACACAAGTATAGCCGATGTCAATGACACAGAAGTGTAACCGACGTTAATGACTCAGAAGTATAGCCGGAGTCAATGACACACAAGTATAGCCGACGTCAATGACACCCAAGCATAGCTGACGTCAATGACACACAAGTATAGCCGACGTCAACGACACACAAGTATAGCTGACGTCAATAATACACAAGTATAGCCAGTGTCAGTGACACACAAGCATAACTGACGTCAATGACACACAAGTATAGCCGACGTCAATGACACGCAAGTATAGCCGACGTCAATGATACACAAGCATAACCGACGTCAATGACACACAAGTACAGCAGGTGTCAATGACACACATGTATAGCCGACGTCAATGACACGCACGTATAGCCAACGTCAATGACACACAAATATAGCCGACGTCAATGACACACAAGTATAGCTGACGTCAATGGCACACAAGTATAGCCTATGTCAATGACACACAAGTATAACCGACGTCAATGACACTCAAATATAGCCAGTGTCAGTGACACACAAGAATAGCCGGAGTCAATGACACACACGTATAGCCGACGTCAATGACACTCAAGTATAGCTGACGTCAATGGCACACAAGTATAGCCTATGTCATTGACACACAAGTATAACCGACGTCAATGACACACAAGTATAGCCAGTGTCAGTGACACACAAGTACAGCTGACGTCAAAGACACCCAAGTATTGCCGTTGTCAATGACACACAAGTATAGCCGACGTCAATGACACACAAATATAGCCGACGTCAATGACACACAAGTATAGCCGATGTCAATGACACACAAGTATAGCCGATGTCAATGACACACAAGTATAATCGACGTCAATGACACACAAGTATAGCCGACGTCAATGACACACAAGTATAGCCGATGTCAATGACGCACAAGTATAACCGACGTCAATGACACACAAGTATAGCCGGTGTCAATGACACACAAGTATAGCCGGTGTCAATGACACACAAGTATAGCCGGCGTCAATGACACGCAAGTATGGCAGAAGTCAATGACACACAAGTATAGGCATTGTCAATGACAAGCAAGTGTAGCAGGAGTCAATGACATACAAGTATAGCCGATGTCAATAACACACAGGTATAGCCGATGTCAATGACACACAAGTATAGCCTGTGTGAATGACACACAAGTATAGCCGGCGTCAATGACGCACAAGTATAGCCGGAGTCAATGACACACAAGTATAGCCGACGTCAATGACACACAAGTATAGCCGACGTCAATGACACACAAGTATAGCCGGCGTCAGTGGCACACAAGTATAGCAGGTGTCAATGACACACAGGTATAGCCGGAGTCAATGACACACAAGCATAGCCGACGTCAATGACACACAGGTATAGCCGGAGTCAATGACACGCAAGCATAGCCGGCGTCAATAACACACAAATATAGCCGGCCTTAATGACCCATAATCATACCTTAAAAAAAAAAATATATAATTTAGAGAACCTCATCTGTATGTGTTGGAGTTTAAGATGAAGACAATCTTGTATGTTGGAGTTTAATCTGAAAACCCTTCTGAATGTCACAGTTTAATCCGAAAAACATCCTGAATGATGGGTGTGTTTACCATGCTACTTATACTGTTGCTGAAAATTGTATAAATTTTGTAGTTCGAGAAAGAAGCCTCTGTCAAATAAATCTTCCCACCCTTGCATAAACAAGGCAGCCCTGGTTTACAATACTTACTTTGGCAGTTACCGGGGTTGTTCCAGGTAGACTTATTGGAAAGTGCCATCACCATCCTGTAGTTATTTCCCAGCCAGAATTTATAATGCGGGCAAATCCAAATCCTCATTGGTGTCACGGTTGAGTTGTATGCTATAACAGGCAGTTCCGGGGGGGCTGTTGGTGAAATAACTAATTAACACTAATATAAATGAGAGAAATGAACAAATATATATTTCTCGTTTTAATCAAGGTGTCTCATACAAAATTCTTGGAAAAAAGAAAACATCGAAATTAGGATATATCAATGTGTAATAAGTCTGACTGTACATTAGATGTTCCCGAAGGTAAACTTTCAAGAGGTTACCTAATTTTTTCTACCTACAACTTTTCGATTTTATTTCTCTCATTCCTCAAGAGCGTCTCATCAAATCTGCTTCAAACTTTTAACACTTGAGAACGGAAACGAAAACCAAGTTTCTGGGACAATTGGCACATTCTCGTCCCTTACGACCAGAGTTTTTGAACCTATTCCAACCCTTCTAGAATGACTTGGGTAACTTCAGAAATCCTCAGTGGCGCAGCTTCAAACGTTCTTTGGAACATTTATAGCTGCACCACTTAGGATTTCTGAAGTTACCAAAAAAATTTGATGACGATGGAAGAGGGAAATTTAAATATTTAGGGAAAGATTTGAACCTGTAATATATAATACAGAGTGATATTTTTATTCCCGTTAAATAACGTTAAATAATTTTCAGTTTACTTGTGAACTGCTGCAATATTTAATATCTGATGTATCTTAGTCAGGATAGTACCTATTTCGTTTCATACGAATGCAGGCAAATTTGTTGAAAACTTAAATAGTAGACAGAAGTTGGAATCTTTGAAATCCATGGGTAAACGGAAAATGGCTCATCTGATCGGCTTCAAATTTTAGCCAATTGTGTGGTTTCCTGAACATAATTGCCAGTTCTACTGATTCAATGAATAGTGATATTCACTTTTCATTCAGTAACTAATTAATGCTTCTTTTCACTGGCTTCAAAATATAATTGAGTATGCATAATATAATAAGAATGACATTGCATAAGTTTAGTCCGAATATAAGCATATGTTAACTCAGAAATTTTTCTGAGTTAACAGATTTGGAAACGCTAGAATCAGATGAATTAATCGTGGATGCCTCTTCTGGTGAGCTTCAAACCCTAAATGGAGGTGTATCTTAATGTCAAGAAAATTTGTCTTAATTTTTGTTGCGTGGGTGACAATTTGCCAACTAAATCAAATTGGGGATTTAAAAAAAACTTATAGGATTGCAAAAAATTTTCTAAAGAATATAATTATGAAAATGAAACTGGAAAAAAAATCTTCTAATTTATGGTGTCATTTTAGCAGCATTTTTGTTTATCAAAAAAAAATCAATAATTATTCGAAATGAAATTATTCGACCAGTTTCAAAATTTCAGCAATGTTTAATATATCTTGGTCAGGAATAGGTGGACTGTATGAAGCGAACGAGTGGTAGTGAATCATTAACACTGCGACTAGCCGAGGATTCAATCCCATGCTGTTTTGCCACGCCTCATAATGAGTGAAAACCACATGACACTAACCCACAGGACCACGAAATCTTACAAGAATCGAGCATCGAGCAGAGCTACATATTTTACCTTGATCCGAGGACATTCTGTGGTGTGGGTGAATCAAAGCTAATTTCATTCTACTCATCATTCTTCGCTCAACCCTCGGGACGAGCGGACGTGCGCTGAGCCTGCCTCCTGCTGTCAGCTGGTGACAACTTGATTTTCACAAAATGGTGCAGCAGGGTAGACGCCGGGTTAATACTGTCGGCATAGAAGTGGTTCGTGGGGCTGTGTATGCCCACTCGGCTCAGGTTTTACTGCCTGCCATCATTAGGGACACATACGGCATTGCGAATGAAGAGCTGTATGGTGTGGCTTTGAACGGGGCATACCGGATCTTTGTGAAGTTTCGCAGTGTTAGTGTATATGAAGACACGGTCGCCAGATTTCAGGATCTTTGTGTGCCGGTAAATCCTGCTGTGACAGTGAGGCTCCATGATGTGTCCCGCTACTACACGGAACGTACCTTTCGAGGCTGATGAGGCGGTCCTGCTTGCCGTGTTTGAGCAGTACAGGACAGTTTACATGGCGACATTGGGGAAGTGGAAGGAAGGATCATATGCCGGGATGCCTGAGGAAAGTTTCTCTTTGAAAATGATCTTAAGGCATCCCATTCCTTCCTATGTTTACTTGACGACTTCAGGACACAAGTGATGGTGGCCTACGCTGGGCAACGACGTACTTGTCGCTTGTGTGGCGCCTATGACCACATTGCTGTGCAGTGTGTTCAACGGCAGGGTTCACAGGCGGATGCTCAATGTAAGGAGGCACAGGAGGAACAGGAGACGATGGAGACACGACCGGAGACGCCTATCTTGCGTAAAGCTTGGAGTATGGAGGTCGACGAGGCTGAATTGAGGGAGGAAGAGTGTGCAACGCTTCTGGGGGACCCGAGCTATTCCGAGCAGGCACTAGAGACCATAGGTGAGGTGCCGCTTGGTGAGGACAGGGACGTGGAGGCCACCAATGACACAGTGCTCCATGACCTGTTAGGAACCCCAGGTTAGGTCTCCCTTGAGGGGCTTGTGGGTACCCTGGAGTCTGCAGTGGTTCCAGGAGGAGTGGTGGGGGGGGCATGTTGGAGGCCCAAGTTGACGCTGATTTGTAAATTGGTACTGTGGTGGCAGAAGTGCATGAGGATTGCTTCCGGATAGAGGCTGGGAGGAAGGCTCGAGGGTCACGGAAGAGAGCAGCCGGGATTTTGGATATGGACGATGTGCTCACTCCGGCACAGAGTTCGGGTAAAAAGGTTTGGGTGGATGAGGAGCGTGGACCTGGTAGGTCCAGGGGCAAGGGACCTGTGAAAGGAGGTCCCAGAGGGGCGTTTGAGGACCAAGAAAGTATTAGGAGGAAGGGGGAAAGGGGTGTAGTAGTGTATAAAGGCAAACCTCCTTTGGCGGCTTCAAGAGTCTCGCTATAAATATTAATGGAATGAGAAACAATAGGAAGTGTGCATGGTTTCCTGAGCTTCTCATTAAGTATGGTGTAGATGTTGTGTTTGTACAAGAGCACAGTCACAAGCCAGGTTGTATGTTGGTGACTGAGGGGTACACTGTAAATGCAGTACACTCACCGGGATTGAAAGGAGGTGTGGCTATTTTGATGAGGGAGGCTAGCCTATTTACTGTACATCATTGTGAGGAGGGAGGGGAGGAGAGGGTTGTACGAGTGGATGGGATGTGGGGAAGGGAGAAGATAACCTTGGTGTGTGTTTATGGTCCGGTGGAGGGGGGCTGTCGGGTCAAGAATGAGTTTGTACGTGATGTGTTGGTCTATCACCTGAGGTCGCTTCAGGTGGTAGCTGTGGTGGGAGGTGACTAGAATTGTGTGATACGTCGTAGGGATGTTATTCTGGCGTTTTGAGGGAGCTGTTAACCTGAGTGGGATTGGTGGATGTGGGGGGGGTGTGGCATGAGAGGTGGAGCACACCTTTGTGAGGCAGGGGTATGCAGCGAGGGTCATTGGAAAGGTTATAGTAGGGGGCCAATATGGGATATTGGGGAGATCAATGTATAAGGGACATGGGGTTATTAAATGGTTTATTGAGTGTCTGCGTGAGAGGGAAGGAGGGGTATTAGCACTGGATTGGAGGGCGGTATATGATAGTGTCGAGAGGAAGGCTTTGTGGAGAATCATGAGGTGGCAGGGGTTTGGGGAGGAAATAGTGAAATGGGCACGTACCTTGTATCAGGGAGCCAGAATGTGTGTGCAGATTAATGGGAGGGTGGGGTCGCATGTGCAAATGGGCAAGGGATTGAGACAAGGATGCCCACTATCACAAATACTATTTGCATGTTTACAGAATCCTTTTTACAGGCAGTGGAACGGTGTGTATGGGAGGGGGTAAGGGATGATCTAAATGGTAGGATACCTGGTATCATAGGTTATGTCAATGACACGAGAGTCCTAATGAGTGGAAGGGAGGGATCGGAGGTTCTGGGGAGGGTCGTGGATGCTTTTGGGCCAGCAGCAAGTATGACAGTGAATGTGGATAAATCAAAGCTCATGAGATTAGGGGCATGGAATGGGAAGGAGGGTGAGGGTGAGGGGGCAAGGTGGTGTGTTGTGGATCTGCTGAAGATTTGCGGTGTGGTGTATATGAGCGATGCGTGGATGGCAAGGGAGGTTAATTCAAAGGGTGTAGTAGATTGACTGGAAAGATTGACTGGGTTGCGGCCGACACATCTTACGCTAAACCAGAGGGTCATTGTGGTTATTGTGCTTTTATTTAGTAAAATATGGCATGTGGCAGCATTGTACCCTTTGGTGTATAGGGATGTTCGGAGATTGTTGGGTAGGGTTTTCCGTTTTATTTGGGGTTCGGGATGGGATTGGTTAAGAAGGGGGGGGGGTAACACTTCCGGTGGCCAAGGGAGGGCTGGGGGTAATTCACTTGGAACGAAGCTTGAAGAACGTATTTCTGAAGCACGGGTTCCTGCGGGTGCGTGGGGAGTTGGGTGGAGGGTCGAGGAATATGCAGGAAAATATTCAAAGATGGAGGGGACAGGATTTGCGAGATTGTGAGGAGTTGTTGCGTGTGTTAATGCTCGTCAGAGATCTGAAGAACATTCAGGTAGGGTCCACAGAGAGGAAGCTATGGCCTAGGGAGGCAGTGGCTGTGGAGGGGGCGTACCCGATGAACGCATGGGAAGACATTTGGGGTTGGTTGAAAGGGTTGCGTATCCGGCCGTGTGTGAGGGAGGTAATGTATAGGTTTCTCCATGGAATCTTGCCAGCAGGGGTAGTTTTACGTAATAGATGAATAGGGAGGGTGGAGTGTGTCAAGATTGTGAGGTAGATGAGTCAGCTTTTCATGTAGTCTACTTTTGCGAACGCCTAGGGGTTGTGAGGGAATGGTTGGGGAAAGTGATTCGGTATGTGGGGGGGAGGGTTGTCGGTTTTCAGAGTGCTCAGTTTAGATGTAGTTGGGGTAGGGGTAAAAGTTCAAAGGACGGTGGCTTACTTAGTAGTTGATTTCGTTTTTATATCATGAGCAATGAGAGATAAAGGGGTGGGGGAACATA